TCTCTTTTTCGACAAAAGACAGATTCCAAGATTTGATATCGGCAGTGAAATTTTTCAAACCGATTTTCTACCGTAGTACTTCACCAAACACACGTCAGACAATTTTTCACGTGCGTGCACACACCGCTTTTTTTTTGCTTTTCGGAGACAAAAAATGTCCTCTCTTGACTTTCATTTTGAAATCGAACAGACAATAGTTCTGTTTCTCGAAGACAATCAGCTGAAGCAAACTACGCAACGAATTTAAAATGAAATTAATAGTCAATATTTTAAGATGTATGAAGTTACATCTGTTAGAAAAAATACGTGATTACTTTCCGCTCAACCTGATAGACAGTATCTATCGTAAAGCGCGGCTCGAGCTTCGGAGAAGGACAGAGTGCCTCGAAAATGAAATTTATTCGACGTCGTTCCTGCTCTTGATTACGCGCCAACTAATTTCGGCGCGACGCACGCATCGCGGCTCTCGTAACACGAGGTGTCCAACATCCTCCTCCTCCCTTCTCACCGACCAATTTATCAAGAATCTTAATTTGAAATACGCGTGGTCGTGTCGTTTGACCGCTCGCTGCGACCCCTAATCCAATAAGGAGCAGCAAAGCACGGATTACCGACGAATCAACGAACCTACGAAATCTCGTCGCTGTAATTGGAAAGTATCCAGTGGCGATGACACCCCTAAGCGGGCGGATCTAAGGATCCTCCTTCGTGTTTCGATGGAAGGAAATGAACGCTCCGCTGGGCTTCTGGCCCAACGTTGATTTTATTTGTACCGTCTGCCGGTGAAAAGAAACCCTGGACCTGTTCCTGTTCCTGTTCCCTTGGACCAATCTGTAAGACAGCGGTCTTTGTGTCTGCGAGCGATAAGGATTTCATCTCGATCGCTCGTCCCTGATACCACCCCTCTTCGTCCCATTCGTTTCCCTTCGCCGACGTAGCGAACGTACATTTCTAAACGACTGCCGTGCCGATAGAAAAGATTCGCGCGTCCTTGTTCGCCAATGTTGCGAGGCCTTGGTCGAGAAGAAGGCCGCAAGAGACTGGATTTCGTTACGCGGCGGCGGCTAGAGAAATGGTAAATTCATACATCAACCTCGCTGGCCTCGCAACCCTTAGCAAATTACACCGAGGGAAATTTGTCAGCGTACGGTTGCACTCGAGTTACTTAGCAGGCGGGAAGCCTGCCAGTCAATGCGTTAACGCGTTACGCGAAATATAAATGTACGTAGTTTATCTTTGCGGAGTGGAGTTACGAACGATCCATCGCCGCATCGGAATTACAAGTGCAGTTCAACGTGCGATTAAATTATTCCGACTCGGTGGACGTTTCCCTCGCATTCGACGGGGAGGGAGAGAGAGAGAGGGACGCTTATTTATTCGGTAAATCCGGGAACGGCGAGAATAAACGTCGCTGACAAAAACAGCGTGCTCGCGGCCGCGCGTGCACGCTTCGTGAAATTGAGTTACCAACCGCCTCGTTATTCTCGTGAGACTCGAAATAAATAAAGTGGCGGGGACATCCGCCAAGGATTGAGTTACCGTCCACTTAATTGACCGCCCGCAGAAACGAGAAGAGGGCACTGATTGACAGCGAGATGCAGCTGTCATCGAGGGCCGACCTCGAGGAAGGGTGTTCGCCGGCCTTTAATTGCCCTTTGCTGCAGCGCAGTGTCTCCGAAAGCCTCTCGGCGACATCCTCGCTTGTTGGAAGAAATTTGGAAGAGAGTCGGGATGCCGTGATCGGGCGCCCTATGTTATCGATAATAATTGCAAACCTCACGTTGGATCAGCCAACGTAAGTGAATTCTAATTCAACAATTACATTCATTTCAACGCGGTTGAAAATGAAAACGAGTGATGATAAATTAATCGCCAAAAATTAGTGACGTAGAATTGTGTTTGAGGATTGATCGGTGTTCCGAATTGTGCCACACGTTACTAGATTATTAGACATATATTATGAAGTAATATAGTACGTGCGCTGGCAATTCAATACGAACGAACAAATAATATTGGCCTGATGCAGTGCAATTCAGTGTTTTGATTATTTCAATGTACTTTCCGAGAAATGCACGCTGCACGATAAATTTCGTCGACTGAGTTCCTACCGTACGCCGCATGCAACACATAGCGAAAGGCTTGTCGAATTGCTTGACAAATTTCCAGAACTTCTCCAGAGAGAATATAAAAGAGAGAGGAAGACACTTGACAAGTCCAAGTAATATCAACGTCCATGGTCCTTCCTGGTTGCATTCGAGGGAAGCCAATAATTCAGCAAACAAGATTCAGTGACGCAGCGCCATGTGCCTGCCGCCGTCGTCGAATCTCTCGAATTACATAAACCCCCAAATAACCCCGGTGTATCATTCTAATTTCGGTTTCACCGAATTTCGAGATTGCACCGTTACCGAGAGAACCCTTCCTCCGGTTCTCTTCTCCACCGCATCCGTCGTGTTCTTTCGTCCAACGTCCTGAACGTCGCCTGTTTCTTGCTCTCGCCGTCTGCCGCATATAAATAGCCGTGGCACGTGTATGTCTTCTCGGACGTACTCGGCGGCTCTGGCCCACTTCTCTCCTTGGCCTTACTTGAAATTAGAGAACCTCCACCAGCGTGTGCTTTTTCATTCCCCCGAGTACGCGCGGGGGAGAAACCGTCTCTCGTTTCTGCGACGCATACTCATCCGTTTTTGTCGCGTTTTTATTAATAAGAAACACGAAACTTTCCCATCGGTAAGAGAATGTAATCAAGAATTGTCTCGTCAAGAAGCAGTTTTCGCCTCTCGTTCACAAGTGATGAGATAGGGAAATCGAATCGAAAGAAGAGAAACCTCTCTTTTGCACACGTAATCCGATAACCCTAAATCAGTTGCAATTTTTATTTTTGATCCCATTCGCCTCGGTCTATCGTAACTTGGCAAGTAAGAGCAAGAAAAAAAAAGGAAAGTAAGGTACTTGAATTTTGACTTGAATCATTGATTCGATCGTTACCTACTTCACGCTCGCTCTCCCTGTATACGTCTCATCGTGCGTGAATCTTATTTGGTCACGCGAGAGAAAATAGAATCTCTCGCGGGAGCAAGTATGAAAAACGCCAGCAAAACGGAAAATAAATAAACTCGTTGGATATCAGGTAGTTCTCTCTATGTTTGGAATGCAACTACAGTTTCGAACGCGAGCTGTCCCTCATATAATAATGCCATGTAATAATGGTGTCAGACAGATCGGATCTGACGGACCGCATCCGCGAAATCGGCCGATTTCGCTGTTGCCGCGATCGGACTGTCGCCCGTCACCGATCTCTCGCTTCCATCGTCCCAGATCTCTCCAATGTTCACGGCACATTTTTACGGGACAACGACGCTCAATAGCGTGGTCGTTGACGTCCACACAGAAGTAATGAGAATTGTTGCGATTTCACGCGACTCGGCCAGAAATCTACAAAGTTGAAACGTCGCGAGACATAAAATACTCTCAAATACTTCGATGGAAGGTGAAAGGGGACCGAAAAATTTGGCAAAAATACTTCGATTCAAACCGACGAAACAAATTTAGTTATATTGAAAATTGAAGACCTTTAAGATCACAGGAAAGAATTTTATTGATGTTTGTTATATAAATAGTATACAGTATAACAATGCAATAGTAATTTTAATAGGTTTTGTTAAAACAGTTTCGCCAAAGATGTGATTTAGGTTAGGTTAGGTTTTCCTTTCTATCAGACTGTCTGTGTATCACGTGGTTTAGGTTAGGTTA